TTAGGATAGGACAATATTTGACTGAGATACAACTATTTGAAAACCTGGAATCTGAGGCTGCAAAGAAATCTAAATATTGAGAAAATCGCCTTTAAATTTTTCCAAATGAAGTTCTTCGCAATGCATATTGCTAATCAAAAATTAAGTTTTGATATATTTACGGTAGGAAATTTACAAAATATCTTCATGGAACATGATCTTTACTTAATATCCTAATGATTTTTGGCATAAAAGAAAAATCAATAACTTTGACCCATACAATGTTTTTTTGGCTATTGCTAAAAATATACCCAAGTGACTTAAGACTGGTTTTGTGCTCCAGGGCCACATATAATTCTCTATGTGTGTATATGTTTTGGATCTTTAAGGACGCTGGTACCTTTATGCCCTCAGGGCCTGGCTCTCCTAGAGGGCCGTCATGTCCCCTGGGGCCCTAAAAGACAAAAACACAATAGGTGAACAGGACAAAAAATTTAACTAATAGATATCATCATACATACCAGATGATTGACTACATTAAGAATTGCAAAAAAAAAAGTGTATTAGAAGTTTTTTTAAAGTGTTTAAATGTGCAATTGATGCATTATCTAATTGAATATGCACTAACTTGCATACAATTCCAGAAGATAAATCTGAACATCGCATAAAGCCAGATTCAAAATTCTTGTTTGATTTTGTTGACATATTAGAGTTAAACATTTTTGTAGAGGGGATTTTGGATATCTCTTTTTATCATTCCATAAATCAGAAAAATACTGTCAACAGCCAGAAAAATATATTTTCACCATGTTTTTAGTAATAAACTGTTGTATAAACTCAGGTGAATGATATATGAACAAACCCCTCAGTTAAAACCTTCAGAATATACATAGGAATAAAACTGCAAAGTTTGGTGCATGAAAGTGCTGCTGAAGTGGAGGAGAAAACTTTTAAAGATATGAATTGTAATTGACATTTACAGACGCAAATAGATAAAATGCAATAAAAACTCCGGTGAATGATATCTGAACAAACCCTTCAGTAAAAACCTTCAGAATATACATAGGAATAAAACTGCTAAGTTTGGTGTATGTAAGTATTGCTGAAGTGGAGAAAAAACTTTTAAAGGTATGTATTTTAATTGAAATCTACAGACGAAAATAGATAACGCGCAATAAAATAAAAACTCTAATATGTATTTTGGATATTTTCTTTCCACTAGTCTAAAATAAGATCCTGTTTTTACTAAAACCTATGAAATTCAGCAAAAAAAAAAAGAAAAAAAAAAGAATGAAAGTAACAATAAAACACTCTAAAAATGCTGGGTTAAATATAACCCAGCACTGGGTAAAATATGGACAAACCCAGCGGTTGGGTTAAATTCTGGGTTTGTTCATATTTTACCCATATTTTTTTTAGAGTGAAGATAATACAGAAAAAATCACCATGTTTTTAGGAATAAAATATTGTATAAATAAGTGTGAATGATATATGAACAAACCCCTCAGTAAAAACCTTCAGAATATAGAAAGGACTAAAACTGCTTAGTTTGGTGTATGTTAAGTGCTGCCGTTGTGGAGGAACTTAAAAAAAAAAGATATGTATTGTAATTTAAATTTACAAACACAAAAATGGATAACGTGCAATAAAATAAACCTGAAAGTGTATTTTGGATGTTTTCTTTCTTCTATTTTTAAAGAACATGCTATGAAAAGTCAATTTATGAGATTTATTACATCAAGTTCATCATTATAAACAGTCCAGCTGGTTGATCAATGAGATCAACAGAGACCAGCAGAGTGGAGACGCCTCACGCCAGACCAAACACACCGGGAATCAAGGACAAGCCAAACAAAACCAAAAAAGAGAGGATTTGTTACAGAAACTATTGCACTGCTTCGCTGTCTGTTGTCTACTGTCTATATACAGTAAGCATAACCAACATGCAACCTCATTAGTCGCCACTTTGGAACACACTATATAGACCACTTAAGCTCACGAGAGATGCAACTCACTATTGATTATAATAGTTTGGTGTTAGGATGTTACTAATATGTGATATTTATAAGTTAGCGTTGTTATTGTGAACTAAAACTATTAAAAATAATTTTCATTAATTGACAAAGTAAAATAAATCGAAAAAACATAAAATGTAAAATATTATATTATTAAAATATATATATTATATAATCAACATGTACAGTAACTTAAACTGTTGCATTGGCAACTAATTTTTGAAAATTACAACTTTTGTTGTAATAAGTTGAAAGAACCAATATTACTAAAATAAAATAAAATAAAGCTAAATTGAAATATTTAAAGAAAAATAATAAAAACTTACAAAAGCACAAAGCAACATTACTAAAACTTCAACTAAAATTGCTGAAATTCAACTTGAAATAAAAAAATGTAAAGCTAAAATATTGAAAAACCAATAAAAATGACTAAAGCACAAAATGACATAAGCACGTAATAAAATTACTAAAACAAAAATGAAAATAAATTAAAGCTAATTATAAATATTATCAACAAAAACTAATACAAATGATTAAAGTACATAAACTATTAAAAATTACACTAAAATTAAAATGAAAACTAATTTTCAATACAATACAATAATACATAAATAATATACCTACAATAGTATATAAATAATAGCAAAAAAATACAAATATCACATATCATTGTACAATTCAATTCAATCTATAATTTTCAGTACTGAATGAAAAATAATATAATTATTGGACTGAGCTTGTTGCAGTGCATTCTCAAATAAAATGCAATGCTGCCTTAGTATTTATTTAAAATAAGGGATCTTAAAAGGCACTATAATGTATTCAGCAGCCACTGCATTTGAAACATGCTTATAATGTGTTAAAAGCTGTCTATGCAGGTGCATACTAGGTTTTGGAGCAGAAGCACAGAGTCAGAGAGTCTCGTCTGTTGACTTTGGGTTCATGAACGGAGACTCTCGATGCTCTGTTCAGGATGTGTAAGCGATCTGTCTGTCATGTTTTCACAAGGGGGTTTAAAGTCGCCCGTTCTCACCATCATTAAAATCAGATCTGCACTGTTTTATATAAACAGAACGGAGGGGAGCGTTCTCTTAATTGCAGAGTTTGGCGTGAACCTCAAACCTCTTTTCATCAGCTTCTGTGGCCTCTGACTGACTTCATCCTGTGTCATTAGGACTCATAAGCACGTAATAAAATTACTAAAACAAAAATGAAAATAAATTAAAGCTAATTATAAATATTATCAACAAAAACTAATACAAATGATTAAAGTACATAAACTATTAAAAATTACACTAAAATTAAAATGAAAACTAATTTTCAATACAATACAATAATACATAAATAATATACCTACAATAGTATATAAATAATAGCAAAAAAATACAAATATCACATATCATTGTACAATTCAATTCAATCTATAATTTTCAGTACTGAATGAAAAATAATATAATTATTGGACTGAGCTTGTTGCAGTGCATTCTCAAATAAAATGCAATGCTGCCTTAGTATTTATTTAAAATAAGGGATCTTAAAAGGCACTATAATGTATTCAGCAGCCACTGCATTTGAAACATGCTTATAATGTGTTAAAAGCTGTCTATGCAGGTGCATACTAGGTTTTGGAGCAGAAGCACAGAGTCAGAGAGTCTCGTCTGTTGACTTTGGGTTCATGAACGGAGACTCTCGATGCTCTGTTCAGGATGTGTAAGCGATCTGTCTGTCATGTTTTCACAAGGGGGTTTAAAGTCGCCCGTTCTCACCATCATTAAAATCAGATCTGCACTGTTTTATATAAACAGAACGGAGGGGAGCGTTCTCTTAATTGCAGAGTTTGGCGTGAACCTCAAACCTCTTTTCATCAGCTTCTGTGGCCCCTGACAGACTTCATCCTGTGTCATTAGGACTCACGTCAAACATGCTCTTTCTCTTTGTCATTTATTATGTTAGTCAAGCTTTCCTGCAAGTAATTGAGTTTTCCTTAAACATTTACCCAAATGGTGACCTCTTATTAATTAAACCAGCTGTTTCTGCTACTGCACTTTTAAGACCGTTACTTTTTGTTACATACATTAAACATTTTAAATGCTCAAAAAAAGTTATTCTTCCAGCTTTATTCAGAAAAAAAGTAAATCAGGATATAAATAATATAAAAATACAAATAATAAAAATACAAATATAGAAATTAATATAAACATAAATATTCATTCAGTTTCCCTAAAAAGACTAGAAGTAAAAATGTAAAAATAATCCAGAAATCATTCTGTACATTATCATCAATAATTCTGTAGCGTCATGTTATTATCATTAACTAAAACATCTTCATTACGGGAAATAAAATTAAATATTTAAAAATATATATTATATTTCAACAATTCTCATTTTCATTTAGTTTAAGCACGAAAATAACTAAATAAACTAAAACTAAAAACTAAAGCTTAACAAAAAAAATACATACACTGAAAAAATTGTAGTAACACCAAGAAATACACTAAATTAAATGCGAAATTTTGAGGTAGATAAACTGAAATAGGTTTTTTTTTTGTAAAATGTACTCCAATGACAGACACATTTTTAAGAATAAAAGCTAATAAAAATGACAAACATAATTAGCAAAACTTCAACAAAAATGAAAATGCAAAAAATATGAAAATACAATCTAATTCAAAATATCAAATGTATATCAGAATAAAAAATGCTAATAAAATTAAATATAAATGTATTTATATTTTGGATTCAGATGAAATAGCCCCTCAAATAAGTGTGAAATAAAGACCATCAGTGGTGACTGTGTCATATTCGTTTTGACCACTAGAGGTCCCTGTGGTTTATCTAGAAACACGATTCACTCGGTCAGGGGGAAAAAAAAACACTAAAAACATCTAGCCACACTGAACAGATAGAGAGCTTAATACATTAGCCTTAAAGTGCCCCTATTATGGATTTTTGAAAATGACCTTTCAAACAGTGTGTAACACAGCTCTAAGTGAATGAAAACATCCTGCAAAGTTTTAAATCTGAAAGTGCACCGTGTATAAAGTTATTGTCTCTCAAAAGAAAGAGTCGACTCTAAAAACGGCTTGGAATTCGTTTTAAAAACGACTCGTTTCAATGATTCAATGTTGACATCAACATGAAACATTAGCATATTGCCCGCCCACTTGTTGGTCTTTTTGCGTTGGTCTGAATGAAAAAAAATCATTCTTTGCCACTAGGTGCAGCTTTTGGAGCGGTAAAAATAGCTGTTTCCCCGGTAACGCTGTACACAAAGCAGCACTGTGCTCACAAACGCTGCTTTATCAGGCATTACAGGCGAGATGAAATGAAAATGAGACCAATCGGACCAATCACCGCAGATTAGCGTCACGCAAAGGAGGGGTTTGGAAAAATGAATGGTTGAGCGAATCGTTTGGGAGTCGTTGAGCAAATAAGGTAAAAATAAATGCATATTATAAGACAATGAAAGTGTTTTTTGACCTTGAATGCATGTCAACCTGTTGTTGAGACTCCCTAAACCAAAATATGAACCTTTCATTACCCATAATAGGGGCACTTTAAGCATTTTTAGGATCATTAAGAATTTTTTTGCACTGTGACATTATTTTCAATAATGAATTTTTATAAAAAATACAGCTACAAAGCAACAAAATATTAAAAGTACTGTAAGTTTTTGACTTTACTAAAGCATAAAAATACCATAATATGTTTGCAGATATGCAAGAAACATGCTAAGTTAACATACTTGTTTATCTGACAAACAATGCTACAGTCAGTCATTCTCCTTTGAAAACGTGTGTTCCGTGTCGGAATGTCTGTCTTTGTTTTGGTCTGTGTGACTCTGCCCACTGCCAGTTTAACCAATTGTATTTCGGCACCCCAGGTTGACAGTTGGCGGAAAACACAGCATATTTCATTTCAGTCATGGAAGCTGGCAAGGAAGGTGCGCTCGTTCCTGTTGGTGTCGTCAATCTGGCAACCTGCGTCTGCGTCAAGTCTGAGGAGGAGGGGCAGGGTGAAAAAAACCCTCTCCAATATTTTGAATTTGGACTGCAAAAATGTCAATCCTACATACAGCACCTTTAATGGTCTTTTTAAAAAATGCTTAATTTTCTTTATATTAAAAAAATTTAATATTAAATTATAATTTTGTCTGTGTCTTATAAATCTGGAATGAAATACCTAGTTATTTCTTGGTAACAATCACCCAAATGAGCTTATAGGCCAATTCTGCTTTCAATCAAAGCAAAGGTTTCCACCAATCGAATCTCTCTACTCCAGTTCAGATTCCAGTTTGCTTTGTTCTAGCCGCACTGACATCATTAGCTAAAGAAAAAAGACATTCATTTCTTTCACTAGTCATCTTACCCTTCGTCCTTTCGGCCCGGAAATGCCTGCTGCTCCTCTCGGCCCTTGTGGACCCTTGAGAAAAGAGACAAAGTAAAATTTCAGCTATCAAGTGGAAAGTTACTCTCAACCTCAATCTTTCACCCCAAAATTTGCATCTCAAACCGCAGAGGATCATGGGTAAACTCACTGGTGGACCTTGCGGGCCGAAATCCCCAGGACCTCCTGGAAGACCCGGATACCCCTTAAACAGACAAAGAGACACACGGTTAACACCATAAACCCACTAACCAGTGACCCAACTAACTAGTGAACAGATTCAGAATGAACTAACTGAGTTTTATAAATGATTTATACAGAAATATGTTCTAAATGTGTTCACAAATGATTTGCACACGTTTTGCATCACACAACAATTTACATACAAGAAACGATTCGTTCTGCTGGTGTTTCATGAAAGAGGCCAAGTATAATTTATCATTATTAATTATGTTCTTCCTCAATTTTTTTGTCTTGTTTTTTCAGTACAAATATCTAAACACTCTCCTAATGTGCATGCTTGTGTAAAATTATGTATTATTTGAAGAATTAAGAATGCTTTTAATAAAATAAAATAAAACGTTTGGAGTCTGAAAGGTTTTTTTTTTTAAAGAAATTACTACTGTTATTCAGAATTCAAAGATTTAAGAACGATTTAAGAATGATCTGGTCAGAAAAATATTTCTTGTTTTAAGAATTTTTAAATTAAAAATTTAAAAAACTTATTTTAAAAACTTAAAATCTTATGTTATTTGGCTTCTCAAGTAAATGTATGTTATGATTTAAGAATGTTTCGATGATTTTACTGGAAAACAAGACACAAATAATGAGTAAGAAGATCCTTTTTTGCAGTGCAATGCATTTTAATAAATGTTTGCTAATATGAAATAAGTTCTTACTGTTGAACCTTTCTCTCCTGGAGGACCCAAAGGACCAGGAGGACCTCGATCACCCTGAAAAATAATTAAAAACATTATTAAGTCATGTTTAATAAAGAGATTTTCTAGCAGAAATCAAGTAACACCGAATAAATGTGGATCATGACGCTTGTGTGGTTTAAGATACAGACTCTGTCTCGGTTTTACCTTTTCTCCAGGTTGTCCGATCACTCCGGTTATTCCAATCAGTCCAACCGGACCCTGAACAACACAGAGAACAAGAGCTGGTTAAACACACACACACACACACACACACACACACACAAATGCTCTTTTGGTTTGCTGACTAGTTTGGATCAACTAGATCAAAGTGTGTAACTCTTGCTGTCTGAGGCGTCATCTGTATCTCAAATAATGATGCTGGTCACACACACACACACACACACACTCTCACACACACACTCCTGCATTCCTCACGTCAGATTTTGGAAAGCGTTCAGACAGGAACTGAAGAATTGCTTTACAAGAGTACATGGATGTGTGTGTGTGAATATTTGAATAATATAATATAATATAATATAATGACTCATGCACTATATTCTAATCCATATGATAGCTTTAGGTATTGACCATGTTGAGTCTTTAAGGCCTCTCATAGCCATAAATTCACATTTAAAAAAAAAAATGCATTGTGAACCAATGACATTCAAAAAGTAACGTCACATCTATTTTGTAATTTAATACAAGTGCAACTGAGATTTGCATCATATGACTTCAGAGGACTTGAAAAATATGAGTCTGATGGATGAATGTCAGGATGCTTTTATGGTATTTTTGCCATTTTTGGAGAGTGATAGTTTAAATGAATTGAACGGTAGAAAGTAAGTAATACATGAGGGTGAGTAAATGATGACTTAAATGAGGGTGAGTAAATGATGACCACATTTTGGGGTGAACTGTCTCTTTAAGACTGTCCTGCATCTTCACACACTGACTATAATGATCTGTAATGATTCCACAGCGGGACATTTACTAACATGCTAAACTGCTCACATCCATCTTGTTGTTAACAAATCGATGTATTATGACAGCACAGATTAAATAAAGCTCTGTTTCCAGCGCCGCACTAAACACAATGAACTCAATGTGCATTTACACTCCCAGCACTCATAAATCATCACAGACGTGGAAAGTCACACTCCTGTACAGGATTTTCCATCGCTTCCATGTAAGTTGGTACAGTACAAGTAAGTTTTTGGGACGATTCCCAGCATGCACCATTAGCCCTGGGGAACTTTCCGAAGCGTTCGACGTCCCTCTGACAGTTAATTTGTCACAGAACTATCATTACATCAGATATGTTTGGCTCGTCTGACTGAAGCTCCTACAAAATTTTCCATGTCAATGTTTCATGCAGGTCATTCCCCATTTTCAATTTCAAAAACAAAGAACATTATTGTAAGGTTTGGAGGCAAAGTGTTAATAAATTGATCAAGATAAATTAATAACATACATTGCAGCTTAAAAGTTTGAGGTCTGTTCATTTTTTGTTTTGTTTTTGACATCTCTTCTGCTCACCAAGGCTGCATTTATTTGACTAAAAATACAGTAAAACAGTAAAAAATTGTGAAATATTATTACAATTTAAAATAACTGTTTTGTATTTGAATATATTGAAAAATATAATTGATTTCTGTGATGCAAAGCTGAATTTTCAACAGCCATTACACCAGTCTTCAGAGTCACATTCTACTGTTGAAAAGAGTTTTTTCTGCTTCATATTTCGGTGGAAGCCTAGCATCTTTTGATTAACAGAAAGTTCAAAAGAGCAGCACTTATTTGAAATATTTATTTGAATCTTTAGTAACATTATAAATGTCTTTACTGTCACTTTTGATCAATTTAATGCATCCTTGCTGAATAAAAGTACTAATTTCTTTAAAAAAACTTTTGAACTGTGGTATGTGGTTTATTGTTTATATATATATATATATATATATATATATATATATTAGTGCTGTCAAGTGATTAATGACAATTAATCGCATCCAAAATAAAAGTTTTTGTTTACATAATATATGTATGTGTGCTGTGTATATTTATTAATTGTATTTATTATATATAAATACACACACATGCATGTATATATTTATTTAAAAATAGGTTATGTTTATATATTAAATATATTTACTTATAAATGATATGAATATAAACATATACATGTAAATACATGTAAATATTTTCAAAATATATACTGTATGTGTGTGTATTTATATATACATAATAAATATACACAGAACACACACATATATTATACAAACAAAAACTTTTATTTTGTATGTGATTAATCGCGATTAATCTTTTGACAGCATAATATATATATATATATATAATTTTTAACACAGCAATCTCACAAATCTCCTCTAGAATTACAAAAGAGATCAAAAATGTCTCAAACTGTGCTCAGATTTGCAACGATGCCAAAATCGGCAATCAAAAACTAATTTCTCATGAAACTCCTCCAAGATTAAATGATCTGAGCCGCTGTCCACATTCATTTTTATATTTCTATACATCCGAGACCGAGAATACGGACAGATTACATAGGAATGAACTACAAGGGGATTCTGGAGAACCAAGAAATAAAATAATGACCTTTCTGAAAGCATGCCAGACGTCACAGATGTTCTTCGGGAGAGCCACCAAGTGCATGCTGGGATTGACGAGGCTTTCCATATTTTCCTGGAAGAGCCGAGCGACAGCCAGCAGTACATAGATCTGCTGTAACAGTCACTACATCAAAATGTCTCATCCAAACCTCAGAGGATGGATATTCTGCAGCTAAAAACACTCCAGACACGTCAAAAGTGTCAAAAATCATCCAGCAGCTACTTTTCTATTACAACCGAAGTGATTTCATTACTGTGAGTCCTCAGAGAAAATGCTTGCTGAATGATTTTAGCTTTAAATCAATCCTAAAGTTAACTGAAATCCATGTTCCTCTGCCGTCTAGTGGATGAAGATGAAGCTACAAGAAATGAAAGCAACTCCAGTCTGTATCACACTTAAAAACAGCCAACATTTATGTCACAAAATAGAAAGACATTAAAAATGCCATAGAAGTTTAAATTTACTGTAAAGAAATTGTAGTGTACTTTTATTTTGATATAACATAAATATTTTACAAAATATTTTGAAACCTACATTTGCTATAAGATTAAAGCCATATGTCTAATTAAATTATGTTCCAAATTTGAAGTTAATATTATGAAAATGTAGGTTCCTGTGAGAGTTTGTTTAGGCGCTATAACAAAAAAAGCCACTAGGTGACACCCAAACTCCATTGATTTTTTAATGCATATTCCTGTAACAAATTGATACATTTCTGTCACAATATTAGTTCTACTACAAAATAATCACCAAATATGGAACCTTGAGGCTTCAGACCTTTCCAAATTGGTTGTCAAAATTAGCAAAAACCCAGCCTTAGAAAAAACATAGAAAAACCCAGAGATTAAAATACTGCTCTAAAGAACCAATAATGACTTTCAACTTTTAATCTGCAAGATTTTGTGCTGAAAAGTCAGAGTTGGTGTGAAGGACTTCAAGAGGTTGAGAACTTCAGCAACTAATCTGCAGATTTAAACCATTTTCCCCTCCAGCTTGATCTCGTCCTGTTCATTTGGAAAGTAATGCCATGCGTTCATTAAAGACCTTGTGTTCTCCAGATTGCTGTTCTTGAAGTGGGGCCGTCGGGCCCCTGCGCAGATTTTCTGCGGCTGATCTCTAATGCGGCACACATGTGAGCTCGTACACTATAGACGAACACAAACCAGAATGCAAATATTATGACTGAGCTCATCACAGAAATACAGCGCACATGTTTTCTGTGTTGTATCTAAAGCAAATCCTGCTCACACGGACGCGGACGCAGTCTCGTCTTCCCATCAGAAGATGGAGCGAAACCGCGGGATAAACGTTTTTCCAAGGGCAATCGCTGTGTGTGTCCTAAATCTCTCTGAAGAAGTTCAAGAGAGGGAGGACGTTCTCATGAAATGCATTAAAAGGCTCTTTTTAAAGCTCTGTTTTCTCACACAGCATTAGATCCTCACAATACGTCTCTGATTTTACAAGAGCATAAACAAACACACAACGGGAAAACAAACAGGTTTGCTCAGTGAAACTTCACAACTGTGAAACGGAAAACTGCCAGTAATTTAACAAAAAGCATCGTAATTAAGAGTTCAATCAGCGTAACAATTTTTTTTTACAAAAACACGGATGGATGGATGGATGGATAGATAGATAGATAGATAGATACAGACAGACAGACAGACGGATAGATAGATAGACAAACAGAAAGATCGATGAATTGATAGACAGAAAGATAGACAAACAGACGGACGGAGAGACAGACAGACAGACAGACAGACAGACAGACAGATAGATAGATAGATAGATAGATAGATAGACAGATAGACAGATAGATAGACAGACAGACAGAAAGACAGACAGACAGACAGACAGACAGATAGATAGATAGACAGACAGACAGACAGATAGATAGATAGATAGATAGATAGATAGATAGATAGATAGTTGTACTTACAGGGGGGCCGTGTTTTCCAGGATTCCCTGGGTCACCAATTTCTCCCTGGGAACAGAAAAAAAATAAATAATTGAACATCAAAACCAGCTCAACAAAATGAAACACTTGCATCATCAAGAATCTATGACTGTAAACGTAAACTCTAATATGAATTTATCATCTGTGATAAATCTCACATTTGTACGGATGGTTGATATACTGGCCAATCAGAGAGTGATGTGAACAATCACATAGAAACTTTTGGAAATACTGAATATAAGACTGCAGTTGGGTTTTTTGCATATTGGATGATGGACACGTGGGATCATTTCTGCTGGTGAGGAGACACTTACCTTCAGTCCTTCAAGTCCTGGTTCACCGATGAAACCCTTCCGTCCTATTCGTCCCTGTAGTGGATGAAAACACACACACACACACACACACACACACACACACACACAGGTGTAATTGTAAATGCTTCTGCCTGTATACATTCACAACAAATAGCAACAAACAAACATGAATCTTGAAAAAGAAAGACACTTACAGTGGGACCAGGCTTTCCAGGTGGACCCGGGGGGCCTTCGTCTCCCTGGAGAAACACACAAGGAAGCGGTTTAGTAAACATTCAGTGAACAGATCCCACAGAACATCGCCCGTAGACAAGATAACATTCCTTCACTGTACACATCACACAACAAGCTCGACAAGAAATGAGGCGATGAAAGAAGAGCAGAAGAACATCACTGAACTGACTCTACTGCAGCTCTATTCTACTGCAGAGGAGATTTCATTCACTTTATACCACTATTCACACTCTGACAGAGAGATAGATTGATAGACAGAAAGACAGACAGACAGACAGAAGGATAGACAGAAAGACAGACAGACAGAAAGACAGAAGGATAGACAGAAAGACAGACAGACAGATGGATAGACACAGACAGACAGACAGACAGATAAATAAACGGATGGATAGACAGATAGACAGACAGATAAATAAACAGATGGATAGACAGATAGACAGATAAATAAACAGATGGATAGACAGATAGACAGACAGACAGACAGACAGATAGATAGATAGATAGATATAGACAGACAGACAGACAGACAGATAGATAGATAGATAGATA